GAGGAGGAGGAGGAGGAGGAGGAGGAGGAGGAGGAGGCCCGGATGGGCAGGTCGGCCCTGCCAAGTCCAGGGCACCCTTTGTGTCCCGTGTCTCGCGACCCGTGCCTCCTGCATTCCTGCGGCAGTGTGGACCGCGGAAGGGAGTCTTGTGTCCTCTCGCGCGGCCTGTGTAAGGAGGTCCGACTGAATCCGTCGGCGTTGCGCCCTCGACCGAATGATCATCGCCTCCAGATGTCCCGGGAAGGGCGTCGGGGACGATGCCCAACGGAGTGAGGCTGCCCCGCTGCAGCGCAGGAAGCTGCACGGGCACGAGTGCAGGCGTACCCTACGAAGCCCGAAGGCGAGCAGGGCAGCAGAGGAGGGCGAGACGTTCAACCTGGGCGGTGGTCTTGAGGAGGAGGAGGAGGAGGAGGAGGAGGAGGAGGAGGAGGGGAGGAGGAGGAGGGGAGGAGGATGAGGAGGAATTAGCAGAGGAGGGGAGGAGGAGGAAGGAGGAGGAGGAGGGCGGAGGAGGAGGAGGAGGAGGAGGAGGAGAGCGGCGAGGAGAGGAGGAGGAGGAGGAGGAGGAGGAGGAGGAGGAGGAGAATCGGACAGAGGACGAGAGGAGGAGGAGGAGGAGGAGGAGGAGGAGGAGGAGGAGGAGGAGGAGAGAGGAGGAGGAGAGGAATTGGCAGAGGAGGGGAGGAGGAGGAGGAGGAGGAGGAGGAGGAGGAGGAGGAGAGGAGGAGAGAGGAGGAGGAGGAAGGAGGAATTGGCAGAGGAGGGGCGGAGGAGGAGGAGGAGGAGGAGGAGGAGGAGGAGGAGGAGGAGGAGGGAGGAGGAGGAGGAGGAGGAGGAGGAGGATGGGAGGAGGAGGAGGAGGAGGAGGAGGAGGAGGAGGAGGAGGAGGTAGAAGAAGAAGAGGAGGGGTGGGAAGGCCTGGCCCCGCTGGTCCCCCTCCTGGGTCTGGGGTCTCGTGGGCCCTCCCGTGTTCTCCTGGCCCTCTGGAGCCGTGGCTTCCTGGCGCGTTCCTGGGGCCTCCGGGGGGGGGCTCCCGTGGGGCCTCCAGTCGGGCCCATCTTGGCGCTTCGGGCGCCGACGATGACGGCGAAGGCCTCGACAGCCTTGAGGAGTAGGACGACGACGACGACGGCGGCGGCGGCGACGACAATTGAGGATTGACGACGACTGACGATCGACGACGACGACGGGCGACGAGCGAAGCACGACGACCACGACGACGAACATCCGGCGACGGCTGACGACGCCGAGCGCGCCCTTTTTTGGAGGAGCTGCTGCTCGCCGTCGGCGAGCAGCCCCGCGCTGACCCTCGGCCACGGCAGGAGCTCGCTGCCGCCGTCGCCGCCGTCGCTGATCGTTCGCCGGGACCGTCGCCGCTGCCCTCGCCCCCGTGCTCCCCCTGCCCTCGTGCGCCCCTCCTCGTGCGCCGCCTCCTCGCGCGCCTCCCTGCACCTCCTCGTCGTGCCCTCCCTCGGCGTCCTCGTCTCCAGCCCCTCCTCCTCCTTTGAGGCATGCTGGCGACGATGATGAGGACGAGAATTATGACGGAGGTCCTCCCTCGCTCTCCCTCCTCCCTCCCTCCCTCCTCCCTCCCTCCCTCCTCCCTCCCTCTCGCCCCCCCCCTCGAGGAGAGGAGGTAGGCGGTGGGTGCCTCCTCTCTTGTTCTCTGTTTCCTTTTTTACCACCTGCAAGCATCTCTGTGCTCTCCCTCGAGCTTGCAGAGTGGATGGGGCCTCAGCCCGGCGCCCCGACCTCGGTCCGACGGCGACCCCCCTCCCCCGACCCCCGACGTCATGATTTTTGTCATAGCGTCGACCCCCGAGGTCCCGACCCACTCCCCGGGGCCGTTTTGTCGGTCCCGAGGAATGAGTTCCCGACCCATTCCCCGGTCCCGACCCATTCCCCGGTCCCGAGGACCCATTCCCCGGTCCCGACCCATTCCCGAGTCGTTTCTTGACGGTCCCGAGGCCCAGGAGGGGCCCACGGGTGCCGAACACACTGAGACATCTCCCGCCGTCGTGCTTTCTTCACTGCTCGAGGGGGGCCCGGCTCCCGCGACGGCGACGCCCCCGCCTGCAGGCCGCGCCGCCCCTGGGCGGCGGCGCCGCCTCCCGCGCCGTCTACTTCGCTCCCAGCCAGTGGCGGGGCAGGCGCTCCTCCGCCACAGCGCCCGCCGCGCCCCGCCCGGCGCGACGGGCGGCAGCGCCGTCGTCCTCGGCGGCGCCCTCGGCGCGTCGTCCTTCTCGGCACCCAGACCTCCTCGGCGCTGTTTCAGGAACGCGGCGGAAGGTTTCTCGCTCCTCTCGGCCTCCGGGGGCCCGTCCCGGGCCTCGGGACCGTGAATAATCGACCCAGGATGAGACACCGGTCCCTAGGAATGGGTCGAGACCTTTGGGGGTGGACGTCATGAAAAATCATGGCGTCGGGGGTTCTGGGCACGTAGTCGCCCTCGGCACTCAGAGGAGGCACAGGTACCCACACCGCGACCCTCCCCTCGTTT